CAGGATGAGGGTGATCTCCCCAGCACCACCCCCATAGCTCCCCATGCACGTTCCATGCACGTCCCAGAATGCTGGGAAGCATTTTGGAGTAAATGTTGGGTGGTGTGGAGGGCTGCAGTGGGGAGGACAGCAGGAATAAGGTCCATTGCACTTGTGGATGTCTGTTAGTGTCACACTGAATTGAATGCAGTGTTTCCAGAGGATAAACCAGAACCAGCCCTCAGAGTGACAGAGCACTCAAGAGTAGCTTTTACTCGAGTTTCCTTTTTTTAAAACCATCAAGTACTGCTAGAAGTCAGGTTTTATGAGCATGACGAAACTCGAAGAAGAGACAGTGGGGATTTCCTGTGTTGGTAGCAATATGCATCTGAGCTGAGGCAAGGGAGGAAATCCACTTACTTCTTCTTGGGTACACAAAAGCAGCACTAGGCTAGGAGAGAGGTTTTTCTCCCTAGTCTCTCGTGATGTCACAAGCATCAGCAGTAGATGCTGTGACTGGTGCAGCCACATTCTTCAGAGGCCCCACAGAGGAGGCTTATGCACTTTGGAGAAGAAAAACTGCCATTTCCCATGATCTAAATGTAGTGAGTTGAGAGCAGGGTGACTTTTTCTCTTCCATTTTCTGAACCACTGTAGTCTAGGGCAGTGGTTCTCAGCTGGTGGTGCACATGCCACTGGTGGGAGACAGTAATATTCTAGGTGGAACAGAGGTTTTTCAACCAGTAACTAAGAATTTATTCTCTGAATTTTTGTGGCTCCTGGCAAGAATTAATTGCCAAGGAGGAAAGGCACTTGCATGGGAACACTCCGCCATTAAGAAAAACAAAATAGTTTGCACAGAAACCTAGCAGGTAAGGGAAGACAGGCTGTTGCTTTATTGCCTTTTGGACATACTAGGGTGTTAATAAATCTGCTTACCTCCAATGTCACACCTGTGTTTTCTCCCCAACAAAAGTCTAGGAGACCAGCATCATATGGGTGATGTCAGACAGGGCTATAGGAAAGGGCCCTGCTTTCCACTTTTATGTAGAAATAAGTACATTAATTGATGGCCAGATAGACTCTATTTGTTTTCCAGGTGGAAGGAGCAGCTTTGATCATTCAATCACAACAGCTTTACTTGATTTGGAAGTGATGCTGCTCAAATACCAGTTTACTACTTCAAGTAGAATTAGGCCATAGGCAAGTTCAGCTCTCTCCAAGCATGTGTGCATGTAACCCCAATACTTTATCATCTTCGTTGGTTACCAGTTGAGCTCTGGGCCCAATTTAAGGAGCTTGTTTTGACATATGGAGCCTTAAACAGCTTGGGACCAGAGTACCTGAAGGACCACCTGCTCTCATATGCGCCTACTGAGCCTTTAAGATCTATTTTGGAGGCCTTTCTGAAAGAGCCTTCCTCCAGGGAAGTAAGGAGGACAGCTAATAAAAAGAGGGGCCGTCTCGGTAGTAGCGCCCCACCTGTGGAACAGCCTCCTGAAAGCAGTTTGTCTGGCGCCCTTGCTACAATCTTTACGATAAATGCCAGAAACCCATGATAACATCCCTCAGAATTGACTTCTCCCACATTTGTGTGATTAAATAGCTTGGATGGTAACAAATCAACCTTACTCTTTCTAGACTGACACTAGGGAACAAACTAAATATATGAAACTGGAAGCTGGAGGTTAACTTCTAGTGGCATATGATACCAAGTATTGCTGCTGCTGGGTAGGTTGGGGGAATTTACTGTGGTGTGTATACTTTGCATATAAACTAAGGGAGACATCGGTTATAACTGTTTAAAATCTGGAATTTCCATCTTATTAGGTAGAAACCATTTCCTGTGAATTATATATTTATGACTTCCTCATCCAAAGGTCTTTGCCAAAAGGACTTTCACCTTTGCTAGTAAATGTGTTGAAATGTTAAAAGGTTTGGTGTGTGTTTGTGTGTGTGTGTGTGTGTGTGTGTGTGTGTGTGTGTGTGTGTTTTAAAGAATAGTCTTCTGGAGAACAAAATAAATCTTGTAGTACTTTTATTGAAGCTGATAAGTGCATAGAACTGAGCCATTTTTCCTCTCTTGTTTTCATTTCTGTGACATGGGGTAACTAGATTTTTCTGACTATCTGTTCACTAGGCTTCAATACCTGGCAAACATACCATTGGTAGTATACTGAACTAGCCTTCTGTTGTCTGTGGATACAGCTAGGCATAGATGACAAATTCTAGTAATAAACTGGCTTCGGGCTTCTGAAAACTTTACAGAGCACTCTCCAGAATCTTTCTGAAACATTGCTTCCCAGATGACCATTGGCTTTGCTAAGATAGGGCAGAGACCAGTTGCCTCAAAAGGTGGCATCAGATCGCTAGTGAATTCGCTGTCTTTGCTTTAGTTTGTAAGGCTGATTGACTTCTAACACATGCCTGTGTTTGATGTGCTCTTGTAGAAGTAAAAGTGTTCCTGTGGGGTTCCTGGGTCTAAAGAAAATCAGTATGGGTTTTTAAAAACTATTTTTAATACTACTACTATGAAAAGAATCCTTGGAGTTGATGTATGTCTAGCTTGTCATTGGGGGTCACTGGCAAGAAGAGGCCTCTTAAGACTTTGGCCTATGTGATTCTAGTGGGTTTTTCCCTCATGGATGTTTGGCTGAACACCTACAGCTGAACACCTAGATCTCATAAGCATCAGTTAGAACATTTAAAGCCAAAAGGATTTGCACTGTTCCTGTGGAAGTCTGCAGCTGATTGGATCTCCTTGAAATTCTGACATAAATTTAATTCAAGAGCAACTTAGACATCACCAACATGCACGGCAGAAGTGGTGGAGTGGAGAGCCCAGACTGGTTGTGTTCCTTGAAGCCAAGAAGGCTGAAGGTGTTTACAGCATGATCATAGCTGTACCTTCCTGGAGTGGAAAGGGAATGCCTCGGAATCCTAAAGTCTTTTTTCTCTCTTTGAAACAACATATTTATCCTAGTAAGTGACACATCTGTATTGCTATGGGTTTTCTCCATGGCTTGGAAACTTTTAAAAATGTATTGCATTTTGCAAAGAAATCATTCCAAACTTGTGGAATGTTGTGATGATTCACCCTTCTGTAACTTTTCTCACTACAGTAATCTCTTTGAGATAGTTTTCTTTTCTCCTCAACAAACTGGGTAGAATAATGATTTGACTTAATTGGAGGTTCTAAACAAATGTCTGAAATCAGTGATGGACTGGATGATAACAAATAAGTTAAAAACCAGCGAAGGCTGAGATGATCATGTTAGGTGTCTTGCATGTTTGGAAACAGCTTGTTGCCTCTGGAAACTTTGGGTGTGTTCTTGGAAAGTAACACAGGTAGATGTCCAGGAAGTTGTGGAGTCAGGCAGTGATTTTTATTAGTTTAAGCTGTCATGTTACTTGTAGCCTTTCATGGGCAGGTTCATGGTCTGGTAGTCTCCTGGTTGGTTATTAATTAATTAAAAGCTTTTACAGGCTGCCCACTACAAGCATTTCAGGATTGTAAGCATTTTACAAGAAAAAGAAAAAAAAACCCTGAAAATATAAAACAAAACAAGGCACTGCATCCAAACTCAATAGTAAAACCCAGAATGAAACTAATTAGACATTAAAATTATGGGAAAATAAAAAGGTTAGATTACTCCGGTGCTCCACATGTAGGGCTATCCTAGTTTTTCAGAAATGACAATTGTCTGTTACTAGGCAGAGCAGCATAGTAGTGTCTCTGTAGCTGCTGAGACTTCTAGAGTGGCTGCTCTTTCCAGGAGACTCTTGTAGTTCCATACTAAAAGTGTGGGCACTATGAACCTGGGTTTGGACAGTACAACAAGCCATGGTGATATGGAGAAGCCATATAACAAAGCATTGTTTCATATGGTCTCTAAAAGCCAAACTTGCCATGGTGAAATACCAGGAAAGGGTTTGGATAGAATGACAGATCAACAATAGTAAAAAAAAAAAAAAAAAAAAAAACAACCCACCATGGCTTGCTGTGTTGTCTAAACCCAGCCAGAGAATAGATTACTCTGGTATTGCAACAACTTGCCCTAGTAGTTCAAAGGTACAAAAAACAGTTTGATAATTCACCTTTTAGGACCATTTTCCTATATGAACATGCACCATTCACAGGCTGTCATCAAGACCGTGCCCCATCTACTCCGTCTTGTCAAAGTTAGGGAGTGTGTACCCTCCTAGGAAATTATCTGGTTGCTTTTCTTTCGACTACCATTCTTGACTGCAGATGTGATACGAGTTTGATCTCTTTTTGGAGTAGCATTTGCTTTTGTTGCTTCATGTGATTTTTAAATCCTTTTGGGGTATTTTGCTGGGGGAGTGTCTTAAGTTTTTTACATTAATTGTTATCAAATATATCCATGTCTAAAACTATATCCCTTAAGAAGATAGGACTGAGTAAGATTGGGGATTTGATTTAATCAAAAAATTCCCCTACCCCTTCCTACTTAGGGAAGGTGCTGGTTGGTAAGTTTATTTTTAGTAGCTTTTGACATTGTGTTTATTGTTGTGCAACACTTGGGGGGGGTACATGGGCATCTTTTAAAATAATGAATTTGTATTCAGTAAAATGACACATTTTCTTGAGACAGGTATAGCTTCATTCAGAATCCTCCTCCTCCTCTTAATAAGAACCATGATGTGGTTCCTCAAAATTGCTTCCATGTCTGGCAATGGAAACATTGGGTAGCTTAAACAATGATTTTGGGGCCTAAGTATTTGAAAAGCCTTCCCATTGGTCTGGTAAACTGTGTACGTGCACATGCGAGAGAGAGAGTGAGCTATGACTCCCATATGACGAAAGGGGCCATTGAGATAAGAACATTTACAGGAGAGGAAGCTTCCTACACTCTTCTGCACTTTATGACTGATGGCTAAGAAGTCATAGAGTCTTCATATTCCAACAAATGTTCATGCCTTTCCTTTGTCTTGCAGCAAAATGAAATGGAGTTATTGTTGATGAAACTAATAGTTGCCTCTCTCATCTTGCCCTATAGGACTAGAGTAAAATTGGAGAGCCTCGAAGATGCTTACATTTTACGAGGAGATGATGATTCCCTTTCTGATAAGCATGGGTGTCCAGCCTATGTGAGCCCAGAGATCTTGAACACAAACGGCAGCTACTCTGGCAAGGCAGCAGATGTGTGGAGTCTAGGAGTCATGCTTTACACAATGCTGGTTGGACGCTATCCTTTTCATGACATTGAGCCTAGCTCTCTCTTCAGCAAGATCCGCCGCGGGCAGTTCAGCATTCCGGAGACTTTATCCCCCAAGGCAAAATGCCTTATACGTAGCATCCTGCGCCGGGAGCCCTCAGAACGGCTGACTTCACAAGAAATTCTGGACCATCCTTGGTTTTCCACAGATTTTAATGTGTCTAATTCAGGATACGGTGCTAAGGAAGTAACAGATCAGCTGGTGCCTGATGTCAATATGGAGGAGGACTCGGATCCATTCTTTAACTGAGCATTAGGACTAATGTTGGGGTGAGGCATGATTCAGAGAGGATAACATGAAGGGAGTCCTTTCTGATCATGCAGAATTATCTCTGTGTTTCAGCCTGGCTTGATAGCAAAAAGACAACTTGGAGGGGCAGGAGGGTTGGTTGGAGAAGGAACGCCCAAGAAATGAGCTAACACAAGAAGATGTAGCATGAGGCTGGTTAGAGGGTATAAATTGTTGCTCTCAAGCTAGACTGACATAGGAAAAGGAGGAGGTGGCAGCATGGGACAACTGTAGCTTCTCGTCTTTATGGAGCCAAGGACACTGCACACTCAAGTTCCAGTGCAGCCACTAATCCACTCCCGATTCCTTTTTGTTCAAATACTTATGGTTCCCAGTGAATAGAAACTTTTGCCTCAACTTGCATCTTGGCATCGCACTGTTAGATATTTAACTTCAGCCATTATTCAGGGAAGGTACAATTAGCTATTTTATTCTTTTTGTTTCCTGTTGTTTAAAATCTGAGGTTTAATAGTTGCAGTGGGATCCATCTTTGGAAGGATGGGTGGGAAAATGGACAAAGGAAGGCAGAGAGAAGTGGGTGCTAACCAGAGTTTTCGTTCATACCTCCGGATACCTAGTTTCAGAATCTCAGTTCTCCTAAATAAACTAGTTTAATTCTTGCCAGGAGAAAGGATATTTGAAAATTTCTGCTCCCTTAAAGTGGGAAGGGGCTGTCATCTAACATTGTGGTGTAGGTAATTGTGTTCCCTCCACTGATGGAATGAGCTTTACTCTAGTGGAGTCTTCTGTGAGTACAAAGGCAAAGAGATGCAATATTTGTGGATTCTCTCTCTCCTGTGCAGTTCCCTGTGCCACGTTGATAAGATCCACAGTGTTGGGAGCTGGGGTGTGTGAGTAATCCAGTAGAGGGTGAAAAATCTTGCACTTGTTGCCACACACAACTTTGGCTTATTAACATGTCCTGGCTCCAAGGTGCTGTTGTATAACCTGAGCCAGCTTGTGGACTGACATCTCTAAGATGGGCTGCAGTTCTGCATTTCTTTAGGATAAAAAGGAACTCTGCCTAAATCATGCTATTTGGACAAATAGGAAGCCATGCAGTTCTGAAAGCTGAAAATTTGCAAATTGCGCAAATTGCACTAGAACGCTGTTATTTGCAGCTTCCAGATTGTGTACATTTATGCACAAGTAACTTGATGAGTGTAATTTCTGCACATTTCCTTAGTATTTAAGCAAACCTCAGTCCGTTTTAGAGATGGAAGACTGTGGAAACCCCCCAAACTTGGCCTGCTTCTGATCATTACAGCAGAAGTGAGCAGGAAGTCTGTTGAGCTTCAGTGAGTCAGACCCCCAGCATCAACAGCACACATCCCTAGTTGGGAGGCTCCTTGCAACAGTCTGGCAACTGAGGTGGAGATGCTGCAAAAGGAAGAGGGGATTTGTGAAAATCACCTCTTCTTCCGCTGCCTTTTCTCCTTGCCGAAGCCTCCACTCGATTGGTTAGCAGGAGGGACACAATTAGATACAATCTGGGTGGGTTTGTTTTTTTGGTCGAATGGTTTTGCTTCAGGAAGCAGTAATCAGATTTCCAGGTGTGTTGGACTGCTTTATTTCCAAAAGAAAAGAGCAATTCTGTATTTTGCTTTTGGTGTGTTTGTTTTTTTCACAGGGGTTTGAATTACTGGCTTCCACTTTACCATGCTGCACAAAAATTTGACCACATATGGAGGGGTTGTAAGGGAGGGGAAGTAATCCAAAGGATTTGAGTAATCCAAAGGAAACACCTCATTCTGGAACTAAATTTTCCTCCTCTGCCCTGAACATAGCAGGAGGGACTCTATTATTGAAGAAAGAAAAAATGGCATTCCCCCTGCTCGAATTTTGTGGAAGGGTAATGACTTGGGATTTCTTGCTTTGCTTTTGTTTTATAAAAAGGATGCTGTTTTGGTTTTCTTCTCATTGACCTATCAATAAGCTGAACATTACTAGGACACAGATCAGTCTCCTAAAGAGTACACCGTAATATGCACCTTTTGTATTGTCAAGACTTTATTTATTGATGAAACTGTCACATTTGTGATGAATTAAGCCAGTACTTCAATTACGGGTTGACTTGGGGTGACATGTTACATGCTGTAGTAAACACGCATCTTATTTTCCTCTTCAGGTATTCCTGTCCCCGGATGACATACTGTTTAATTCTTATTTTACACCCCACCCTACCACCTCCTTAGACCTTTCATTTTGATTTAGACTGGCAAATGATTTTTATTCCTGCTTTTATATTGCTGTATGATATTGGGGGAAACAAAACAAAACAAACCAATCTCTTGGCATAAATATTTGTGTTTCCAGTACCTCAGTTGTTCTGATGTTACTGCCTTGTATGCGTTTTTCGTGAAGTGGTCCTGTTTTTTGGATAGGTACATGTGGACTCTGTAGTATGTAAATGTTACTTGAATTTTGTGCTTAATTCTAGTATGTGGGCATGTACGCACAGCTACGTGGCATTTGACATATGGATGCTATTTGCCTGCCCCGCAGGAAGGTTTCGCTCCCACTCTCAAGATGATGGTTCAAGAGACAAAGCACTGCAGCTGACCTGCCTTGGTTCTATTTTGGTATCTAAGAATTTAAAGGAGTAAAGTTTTTACACTCTGAAGATGGTGCTGTGTTGAGGGATTTCTTCTCCCCCACCCCCATGTTTATTTTATAACTTGTAGGAAGAAAGGTTGATGTGCATGGTGGGATGTTACTGCCTCTGGTGCTTTGTCTTGTATTTGGTTTAATGTTTTTGTCCTAATCTCTTCAATAAACAAAATTGTGCATATTTAACTACATTTCAGCTTGCAAAGACTTATTTATTTCTTCCTGGACTCCTCCTTGTTCCTCATGGCTACAGTAATATTTCATTGCTCCATCTTTATACAGCATAAGCATGTTTACTTGAAAGCCAGCTCCACCGAGCAAGAGTCCTTCCACTGGATGGCGTACTTGCAATCGCAGTGGAATTTACAAGTCCTTAACTTGGGCCAGGTGCCCTGAGCAGCAGGCCTGGCCCTCTACACATACTACTTGAGATAAAATGGATAGCTCTTTGATGACCACATATTCAGGAATGCCGCTTGAAAGCCACATGCCATTTCAGAGAAATGGGGTCAGGGCTCCCATTCCAGTGATGGATGGGTCCAAAACCTTTGAAAAGAGGTAGGCCCAAAATACTTACATTAACAGCATATTTTACTTTGAAACTCTTACTGCTAGTATCCACGCCTTAGGAGAGGTATTTCAACTTTTAGAATTGTGTGTGTGGGGGGGGGGGGGTGGCTGGCCAGAAAATCACCCAAGAATCAATGGTTGAGGGAAGGGACAGGGAAAAAGACATGGTCTTCTGAAAACAGTAGGAGGGAAAGCCCCAATTTTACCTTGAGACCCTTTATCCTTGCTTTATAGGAAACAACACTAAGCCCTGTAGCATCTGTGTTGACTGAACTAACCTGATCCAATCCATATAACTAGCGTCCTCTAAGTTTTAAAAGGAAGGCTATAGTTCTTGAGTTGAATTTAAACACTAGAGCAAATTAAAATACAGCATCCTAAATCAAAAAGTTGAATTTTAACTGTCCTCAGGATATTTCAGGTTGATTTGTGTAGAGGCTGGTTTTGAAAAAAGAAACACCACAACAGCTTCCCAAATTCAATCCGAAGTTCACACTTTAGTCAGAGGTTCAGGATGCATTAACAACACACATTAACTATTTTGGCATCAAGTTTTGTTGCTGAGATTAAAACACTGAATCATGCTTTGCAGATCAATCATGGTTAGGTAGTACATTAACTACCCTTCCTCAAGGAGCAATACCACCTATTTTTCCTACATGCGGGGGAGAATAAAAACAGCCCACTTAGGGGTACAGGCCGCATCTGCATCTATCGGGTAGATGGGCTTCCTCCCATAGTGCTTCCTGCTGTTCTCTGTGTCTTTTGGCTCAACTCTGGTTGTCTTGCACTGCCTCACATGGTTCCTCAGAACGGCAACAGAAAAACTTCATTAATATGTAAACTTGGAGAGAAATTATTTTAAATTCAGCCAGAGTTTAAATGACTTGAAGCTCTTTCCAATTAAACTCCTACAGTAAATGTGCTTGGGTTTAAAAGCTGACTGTGATTCCTTCGTTCCTTTCAAAAAGCAGCTTGGGCGAGTGCGTCTGAATCCCGCCCTCAGCGCCTCACACTCAGTCCACCTCCTTCCTTGGAGCACTGTGCGAGCAGCTTCTGTTCTGTTTGGGTGGAAATAGTTAGACGTGTGCAAGTTTCCTTTGCGCTGCCAATAATTATATAAAAATGTGGCTGACTAATGGTTGCTCATTTGCAGTGAATTATATTAAACACTGAGCCCTGCTTCAGGCTGGTGTGAAGAAAACCTTTGGGCTCAAGGAGCCAATTTTCTAACACGAGGCAGATAGTAAAAGTCTTGTCCTTACAAAGGTCCAAACATGCTTACTTCATTCATTAAGGACATCCTGATTTCCACACCTTTCTGTATGTTTGTTTTAAATATATATCTCAAGATGCCTAAAGGTCCTTTGAGAGTTTGTATCATACTTAATTGGGGTATGACGATAGTGTTGAACGCTTCTCATTTTTGTCCAGGATCCTGTCAGAAATGATTGTGTGCATGATCCAGCACTTAGGGTGCAATTCCAATGCATGTTTAGGCAGAAAGCGTTCTACACCTCTCGGCATGCTCTAGCTGGCTGGCTGGGGTATGTTGGCAGTCACAGGGCCTTCCTTTCCTTTCCTTCACCTCCCCCATGCAAGGGACTGCAGTCTGTGTTGTTTATCAGCGCTAATGTGTGCAAGACTGTATTGTTTGGGTTCTCAACCCAGTACAATAAAGGACTTGGGAAGTAGGGTGGGCTGGCAGTAACAAGAACTACAGTAGCTTCATACTACTAGTAACTATAAACGCAAGTTGAACTACTTCATATCTGCTGCAAGCCTCACCGCTGAAAGCAAAATCCAGATTGGAAGGATTCACACATTACTTTGTGCATCATACCACTCCACATACTCTTCTCATGACTTAAGTGGCAGTGAGCACACAATCCAGGAATCATGGGGGAAGCTGAGCTGTTTTCTCAACTCCATCCTTGCTCTTCTTCCAAGTTAGCTGACAGACAGGTGAGAAAGAGCCACATGACAGGCCCTGATCACGTGTGTAGAGTAGGCCCATCTCTCCCTCATTAGAAGACTGTTCAGATAGATTCATCTGATTCTGAGGAGGAGCTCCAGGAGCAAGGTGAAGGGGAGGTGAGGACTTTGACATTTCAAGGTTGCCCAGTGAAGTTTCTCAAGCTGAATGAGAAATGAATTTCTCAGGGCACAGATGCAAGACCCAGTCCTTGACCCAATAAGGAGACAGTGGGGGAAACAAGCAGCCCAATTAGAGGGTTTCCAGAATTGCCACCATCTTGCCCTCAAACAGCAAGCATCACTCTGAAGGTGGAGTCAAAATTTTTATTGAAAGGGAGGGATGGAGGGGAAGTTTCCAGTTTGAATTTAACTTTTTACATGGGTGGATGCTTTAGTAGAAGTCTGCTTAGAGTTCATACTGTTCTGTGATCTGTTAAGTTCCAGTAAAAAAACTGTACTTTAAAGGATTGTCGTGTGCATAACAACAAGAAAAGAGGGAAGAGAGCAGCTCGATGCAACATGTTTCTCTAGGAGAAATCAGAGTGCTAGAACATGACAACTCACAACAAAAAAGTACCATTGAGAAGGAATGGGGCCTTCTGTGGATACAGCCTCCAACAGTGCCCCCGCCCATGTATGTGATGACCTAGATCCATAGCAACAGAAGAAGGAAGCCATTTCCTTCTCCCATTCCTTTAATTTAATCCTCCTCCTTGCGGAACTTTCCTACAGCTATACCTGTGATCCTTTTGTGTTTGCTGGCACACTGCCTGGAGCTGTTCTTCAGCTGCATTGCTGGCTGGCTTCAGGAGACATGAGTGAATGTGTGGCCCTCCGGTTGTGGTTTGGCTTCACCTCCCATCAATCCTAGCCAACACAGCAAATGGTGTGGGATAGGGGTGTGTTGACAATCCATGCAATCCATCCCTTCAGCGTATGTGGACTTCCTCTCGTGCTCAGATTTAATCTGGAAAGCAGCCAAGCCAGACAATCTATGAATACACACAGAAAGAAGGTTGTGCACCCAGTAACATTATTCTGTGTCATGTGCAGCAGCCCAAAGGTGGCTGTATGTGGTGTGGAAGCACATGAACACTGGTTGCTTGTGCCAAGAAACTGGACTCATGGGCCATGTAAACCCTGACCGGAGCCTGCAGAGCTGAGCCCAGGGAATCCAATGGACTCCTGCCTTCAAAAGATTCCCCAGTCATTCCTAGGTAGGAGGAGGAGAGCTCCTATATCTGTAATATTTTTTCCCCATCTCTGTAGCATGGTAAGCCACTATTGTCTCAGGCTTGAACCTCTCCCTTCATGTGTAAAATGGTCTAACATGCAGGTCTTTAAGGATGCCTGATACCATGTGGGTGAACTCGAGCACCCAAGCTATGCCCCAAGTATGGACTTATTAACCACTGAGAAAATCACTAGTCACAAACACCTGAGAACACGGTGAATACAGTTCCAGTGCAGAGAAGTAGAAAGCTATCCAAATCCTGTTCTAAAGAATGGGCTTAGAGGAGCTGGAACTTAAAAGATCCAACAGCATGCCCAAACCAAGAGGGCTACGCAGCATGTCACAGAGGTCAGAGTGCTGGAGCAGGACGAAGGAGACCAGGTTCAAATTGCCACTCAGCCATGAACCTACTGAGCCACTTTGTTCGAGTCACTCCCTCTTTCCCTTGGTCAGCTCAAAGGGTTGGTGTGTGGCTAAAGGGGTAGGGTGTATAAATGTCACCAGCAAAGGTTAGGTATATATACGACTACTATAAATATTTATTTATTTATTTTATTTAGAAAATTTCTAGGCCGCCCCATTCGCCGAAGCCTCGGGGCGGCTTACAAATAAATAAATTAAAATACATAAACAACAATATAAAATACACATAACTGTATAAAATAAGTTGCCCTGGCCAAAAATACTACTAAATGCCACTACAACTTATAGAAAAACTCACTATAGATCTCCAGGACCAACACAATCAGATTCATGTACCTGCAGACGGTTGTATAAACATCTTTATCTGTGGAAGACAATTACATGGCTTCCATCAGCTGTTACCTATTCACATGTTACTTTGTGCATTGAACAAAAATAAATAGTGCTGGAAGAGAGGACCAGTAAAATCAGCATGTACTAGCAGGAATTTCTCATGGCAGCGTGCTCTGCTCAGGCACCATCTTCCTCCTCATAGATTACTATGCACAGTCATGTCAAGCACATTAGATTTATATCCTGCTTTTTTCTTATGAACTCAGAGGCTTATACCATCCTCCTCTTGGTGCTTTCAATCTTATCCCCACATCAAGCCTGTGAGGTAGGTTGGGCTGAGAGTCTGTGACTGCCCCAAATCACTCAGTTGGCTCCATGGCCTAGCAGGGACTAGAACCCAGGTCTCCCAAGTGCTCTTAACCACTCCACCACACTGGTTCTCATATGGGACATGGTCCATCAATTCGGAGGTAATGGGAGTCACCTTTACCTAGAAGACTCTAACCCCTTTTGAGCTTGACTAAAGGGGTTGCTGCATTTCTATTGAAAAATTGGAGGAAAGATGAGAGTTGAGCTAAGTTGACCCCTTCCTATTGCAAGGGAACAATGTGGGGGTGGGGAAGAAATTCCCTAGAGTGGAGAGATTGGAAAGGT